GCCTATAGGCAGTGTACTGCATGACTGAGGATCAGCTTTTTTGTGAATAAGCAGCAGAACCTTTTTTGCAGCCCAGATGGAGTTTATATGAAGAAGAGCGTCATCAAGTTGGAAAGTGTTCAGTGTTTGGTTTTCTTTTTAAATATTGATGCAACTGACAATTGGCTTTTCTTTTTTAGTCAGGCTATCTGATAATACCTGCATATCCCCCTCTAAGATACTGCGGAGATTATGTTCACTTGTACTGTTGTTTTTGCCCCTCCCCCACCCAAATTATATCGATCTGGGGGTCTTTTTCATATTGGACTCGAACATTATGCCTCTCTTTTCCATCAAAGGTTGTACTTGGACTCCAAAGTATAAAGTTATCCTGTTCTCCAAAGGCATCTACTCCAGTTCCTTTATATTCTTCGTTCTGTATTTAAATAGAACATTTGGTCTGTATTTGTTTCCTTTTTCCATGGTAGCCTTTAATAAATGGAGAATGACTGAGGAACGGTGACTGATTTCTATCAGATATTCCAGTTGTGGGAAGTTAGTAGCTTTATACTTTTGTTGAAACCCCCTCCCTGTTGGTCACAGACTGTGACACTCTCTTGTCCTGTAGTTGTAATTGCGGCAAGTTTCGATGAAGTCTGTGTCTCGACATGGTGCCCAACAGCCTTACGGTCTGGTCTCCTTGTGCTCAGTTCAGTCGTGTGTCATAAAACTGGACGCCTTTGGAACTTGGGCAATTTTGGTGTCTCCCAGACGATGTGAAAGGGTCAGTACTTCCTCCTTTCTGTCCTGCTCAGTGTCCATTTCCTTTAGTTTTGCCGTTGTAGTTCTATTGCTGCAACTCTAAGAAGCCCCTCCAAGGTTTGCTTTGTTCTTGTTTTGCTGGGGGCATCGATGCTGTAAATATTCAAGAGGTTTTAATCGGAAATGCTAATGACCACTTTCTCGATTTTAATTAATGCTGTTTGGGCATTTGGTTAATTTTTTTCTATGGCGGAATTGATGTTGAGGCTAAGTGGAAGAATATGTACATGAAGCTATATTTAAATGTAATACCTGGAATCGTTGGATTGTTAGGTTGCTTGCAATTTGTTCATGAAGATGTCTTCTAAAGTTGTATTCCCTGTTTTATTCATTGATATCAATTAAAAATTCTTGAACTAGCTAGAAATGCTATCTGTCTCCTCTATGTGCGGATAGCTTGTGTTAGGCCAAGCCGTCATCGAGGGTTGGCCACATTAAAAATATATATATATAAATCTATCAATGTCCCAATATTAAGTTGTTTGAATCTCATGACACTTTTCCATGATGTTGGAACACTTGTCGCTAGTATTCAGAGGAGTCATTTGGTTGGGGGACACAATGCTTTTAGTAGCGTTTTTCTCCTTTTATTATAAATTATTTCACCTAGGAGTAGAACATATTTATATAATTCCAAAGCATTTGGTTGCAGCAGTTTATAGTTTAATCCCAACTCTGTCATTTACATGGTCCCCAACTATCATGCTTAGTGATTGACAGTGTGTTCATATCATATCAAGGTAACATCAAATGTTGTGCTCCTGTTACAAGCATTAATTACCTAGTCAGGATATAGAATCTATGATGACAAATTCAGCTTGCAGTTTCCTATATTCTAGATTGGCGAGTTCTTGAAATTGTCCTTACAACACTTTTATTCATTGAGGGTAAGGGGTTATGCAAAGCTAGAACCTAAAAGTTATACAAGACAGTGATATCCATCTTCAGTTGTGACAATACTGCCATTTATATCCAATCTTATACACAGTTAACGGTCATACAGTTAAATCTTACACTGGCAAGCAACCTCCAGATAATCTTTCTAAAAAAAAAAAAAAAAAATCCACACATTTAGTCATTTTCAGTTTTTCAGATGATTCATATACTTTAAATATTTCCTCAGCATGCATGTCTTGCATTTTGATACAAAATACATTTGTTGTGTATCTTCAGCACCTCTGACCCTATGGAGCTAAAGCAGGACACAGCAGTAGGAGGCTGAGCGGACATGGTGGATTTGAGAATGCATTGATTTATCAGTCTTTTGATCATTGTGGCATTAAGGTGATGTGTTTGCGTGCCTACAGACAAGCTGGGTCCAGAACTGAAGCCTTTGAAACTTTCTCAGAAGGAATTCTGTGTGGGACCCAGTTAACCCGAGCCTGTGCACTGCTGATGTCTTGGCGTCCCTCAGAATGTGGTGCTTTCGAGATTGTGGTCCACCTTCATCTTCTGCTTCTCCATTACTGCCTCCAGTTCCGAGACCTTGTGGGCATCCTGATACAGAGAGTGCAGATTGGGGAGTGGAGGGTAAATAAAGATCTATAATGCATGGGCTGTCAGATTAAGAAATAGGCAGAAACATACTGGAATAAGGACAGATCCCTCTCCTCCCAGGAATCTCTAATAAATCTCTTCTTACAAACACGTCAACCCTAAATCCAATACAGAGACTGTCAGTAATCCATACTGAGCAATTAACTGCGGTTCCCAATCGTAAAAACTCGCAGCACATTCACTCCACATAAACATGAATAAAAAAAAAAACGTGAGAAACAAAGTATCGTCAGTTACCTCCAGCAAAGCCTTTTGCACCATGATCTGACTGTAGACTCTAGTGCCCTCATCTGGCAGAACAGCACGCAACTCGTCTTTGTTGAGGGAGAATAGCTGAGCACCAGTCAACACGCCCAAGCAGCTCACAGTACTAAAGAGAGAGAATTAACAGTTGACTGACTACCTCTGTTTTCTTGGTAAAAACCTTTACTTACAAATCATTGCATATGGTCTGTGTTTGAGATCTAAAAGATTAGCACATGTACCAGATCTCCGCTTGAGCGGCATATTGTAATGTCGTCATTCTCTAAATGACGTGTTCGCCTTTTGTTTTGGGTTGAACCGTTTTTAACTGATGAATCTTATCACTCTGCACTTTCCATGCCAACGCCCATACCAGCTTGGGAGTGGTGAAGCGCTGGCATGTTCACTGTGAGCCACCTGCTTTCTTATGTAGGGTGTCCATGTCCTCCAGCCACGCAGCCAGCAGGAGGCTGCTACAGACCTGCGGTTCCCAAACCTCTCTATAAACACCATAGCCACAGTGCCAATCACCCCGTTAGGTGACATGTGACTGCTTGGATGGGGGTGGAGGTTGGCGTTGAAGGTTGCCTAGGTTACCACACAAGCTTCAATGGCTACTATGTAGCCGTCACATATATCTGGTACGCTTCACCTCCAACACACCTGACTCAAATGACTGAATGGGTTTGAAGAAATGTTTATCACGTTAAACATGTTGTCTGGGTTTTGGAGGTGCTGGCATGGAGAGAAACCCAGCCAGATTAAGTTATCTGGGCTAGTGATGGTGAATGCAACATAATGGGTTTGAACCCGGGTCAGACCTTGGTTTGACCATTGCGCCCCCTCCTGGTGCTTTTGAATGACAGCTAGATAAGCTGCATATCTCTAAGTCAGACATGATATCTGCAATGCATCCTGAGAGATTGGAGGGGCACTCACGGCTCGCTGAAGCCCTTTCCTCGCAGCCACTCCTCCACCTCGGAGGACGGGGAGTTGTAGTGCAGGGGGGCGGAGGTATCTGAGGAGCGGGGAATGACCAGGGGGCGGGAAAAGCTGGCCTTCCCATGCGTCAGCCGCTGTAGTAGTTCATCGTTCATCACCATCACTGGGGGGGCAGACAGATGTCACCAGAATTGTTATTTGTCACTTCTGCTGGGGGGGGGGGCAATATCCCAAAGAGTGACCCATTGAAGTCTTATACCTCTGTTCACACACACACACACACACACACAAGGCAAAAGCACGGCAGTCATATGAATGGTGCCGCACTCTCACACTGTCCCTAAGAGGCGCCATCAGTACCTCGGTCTGTGCTGTCCCCGGACATCATGTGGGAGGGGTTGGAGGGCATACTGCGCGGCCGGAAAGTCGTAGATTCGGGGAGGGGGGGTGAAGCGGGAGGGGCGTATGAGTACGGTCTGGCTGATGGTGGGGAGGCATTTCCCTACAAAAAACAGGAGAGAAACATACAGCAATCCAAAGAAACCAAAGTCAACTGCACACAACAGTACGGAACTCTGACTAATGTGACTCAGACTGCATGTTTCAACCTGACAAGTCAAAGACCAATTGATCATGTGACTAAACTGCATGACTTTCTGGGAAATGTTTCTCTGGCAGGGCAGTGCCACCATATGCAATTAAGCATATAAGCTTGTGAGGGCAGGTGCGTATGTAAGCTCTGCCGAAGTAAGCGGGGCTTGGCTGCATATGCGTGCCCTGCCAGAGTGAGCGGGGCCCGGCTGCGTATGCGTGTCCTACCGGAGTGAGCGGGGCTCGGCTGCGTATGCGTGTCCTGCCGGAGTGAGTGGGGCCCGGCTGCGTATGCGTGTCCTGCCAGATTGAGTGGTGCCCGGCTGCGTATGCGTGCCCTGCCGGAGTGAGCGGGGCCCGGCTGCGTATGCGTGTCCTGCCGGAGTGAGTGGGGCCCGGCTGCGTATGCGTGTCCTGCCGGAGTGAGCGGGG